GGGCCTTGAAAATTGGAATAGGGTTTGAGGTAAATTATACTATAATTATAATAAGGACCCCAAAACCCTATTCTAATTATTACGGCCCCCACATGATGACAGTATTTTATATTACGATTAGCAACTGAGCCTTCGCGAGGAGGTAGCCTTTTAGGGTCGAGGGTTCAGGGTTTAGGGTAGCCTGTTGAGGTTTATACAATCCTACCATCATAAGCCAAACAGGCTAACCTCTTCGTTGAGCCAGGGAACTCCCTAAACCTAAACCCTAAACCCTAAACCCTAACTCGGCAACTCAGGAACTCCAATCAGCTCAGAAACCTTTCGGCAGAGGTTTTCGAGGGTTTGGGGCAGCTGACAATGCTGCGTCTCTAGGTTCCCCAGTAGTAGCCTTTTGCCATTTTTTCTTTTTGGGCTCCCATATTAAAACCAAATGGTAGGAAAAGGAACCCTAAACCCTAAACCCTAAACCCTAAACCCTAAACCCTAAACCCTAAACCCTAAACCCTAAACCCTAAACCCTAAACTTTACTGGGGAACCTAGGTCTGAGCTCCAACCAGCTGGAGGGCCTGCCGGCCGACGTCTTCAAGCACCTCCCTCGGCTGCTGGGTGGCTGTTAAGGAACTTAGCTTAAGTTGCCAAAACGGGGAGATATAGTAAATAACAGGTTTTCCTTATATATATATATAGATATATACACATTGCATATTAAATTTCAGCCCTAAACCCTAAACCCTAAACCCTAAACCCTAAACCCTAAACCTTAAACCCTAAACCCTAAACCCTAAACCCTAAACCCTCTTTAAGCTCTTTCGCCGCCACCCAGGCTGGAGCAGCTGAAGCTCAGCTCGAACCAGCTCCAGAGCTTCCCTGCAGAGCTCTTCCGAAACTGGGAGAGACCCAGTCGTACCCTTTTAATGAAGCATTAGGGTTCCGGGTTTAGGGTTTAGGGTTTAGTTTTTTTTTTTCAGTGGTACACCCTTTTATCCCCGAGACTCCAATATCCCTTAATGAAGGACTATACCTTAGCACATAGTTGGGATCCTACTAGAATTTAAGCCATATTCCTTCATTAAGGGATATTGGAGTCTCTGGGATTGAAGGATTTACTTTGGAACCCTATTCTAGTAGCCCTAAACCTTAAACCCTAGAGTAGTAGCCCTAAGCCCTAAACCCCAAACCAAACCGCAAA